TGAAAAGAAGAACTTGAACTGCAATTGACTTATATATCTTCGACTAATATATCTATGTAGGTGGTTTGTTTTTATGTTTTGAAATAAAAATATCTATACTCTTAATTGGCAGTGGCGCGCCTTTGCGCTGACAATGTTCGATTTCGTGAGAAACTCGAGCAGTTAATAATTTGTAGCATATTAGATAGTTGGGATTCTGCCGTTCAAAAAAAGGTAGTTGGGATTTTGATTAGATCGAGAAAGAAGCCGATAGTATCTCTCGCGATTTTTAGTTAATAATATACGTAAGAGATGAATGAGAATACTTAAGAAAACAAAAAGTTAACATCAAAAGAAAAATTAATTTTAAGATACATGTAAACTGATATGACACCTTTTTATTTAAAAAAAAAAGACATATTCCACTTCTATAGAGATTCTACCCACGAACGAATGAATATTCTATTCTAGTGTTTCGTTAGATTTTTTCTTTTTTCTCGTTGTAACATCGCTAGCTCAAGGGGCAACGATTTTGGCGCACACCTTACCCATGATAATGCGAATGTCATGCGCGGTTTTGTTGTGCGCGATAAGATAAAATGTTTGACTGAACCAAACAAAAATAAAAGTACATATGAATTTAGAAAGCTCTATGCCGTTTGGCTGAACATGTTTTTATTTTCATTTTAAAGTTAGAGAGTCGTCCATGTGGCGGCTGTTGCTCTTTTCGATGACACTTGTGATGCAAATATATATATTTTTCTTAAACCTCGTACTAAAATATAATATATAGAGTAATTAATTAATTAGTAAAAAATTTGAAACCATGTTCTCAATATGTAGAAGAGTTGAAACTTTTATTAATATTTTACATTGATGGCATAATAGTTTACAGAAACACCATTACTCTAGACAGCAGAAAATACAAAATCAGCATCTCTCTCCATAGTTACAGAAAGGATAATCAAGTTTATTACAGACCTAATGGATGGCATCTTACATTACACTAAAAAAATAATGTTATAAGTATTTGTGAGATTAATTAAGCCAAAAATATGAGTCAAACATTTAAATACTTACGTTTGTTATTATAAAAAAACATCTTGATCATTAATTAAACTCAAGAAAATTATCATTGAATCACACATGACTAGTCGGTCATAGAGTTGTTAATTTGGGCTGAGGAAATACCATTTACAAAAAAGAAAATAATGAATGCTACAAACATGAAGTGTAGAAAAATTCTCGCTAACC